CTCAACAGATATGTGTGTGATTGGTTAAAATGCGCAACACTGTAAAAACGCCTAAAATGAAATACGGTGCAACATGAGCAGATCTTAATTTAATGCCGCAATCGACACTGTCTATTCATATTCACTTTGTTAACAACAGATGTAATAGATTTAATTTGTTTGTGCAGAGGCATTTTTGTCCAATTTAGTGGCATTTTTGCCCCAAGTCCCCATGGCCACGCTCCTCCTATGAATAAGTGCTGTAGCGTAATTCATCAAACATTCCACTCCCTCCTCCCCCTCATTGAAGAAAAATCATGTTCAAAAAGAAGGAGCGTGACGCTGTAATCCAAGCGATCAATGAATGTAGTAATAGAGGAGTGGGATGACTTTCTTTTAAGGTAATTTTTTATTTTTACAATGTTTTTGTAATGTATTAATTAAAACAAGTAGGCTTATACTAATATTAACAGTATATACATTTGGTTTGAATATATTTTATTAGGCTATAAATACGTCAAAGTCAAAGTTTATTTATAAAGTACTTTTTGAAACAACATGTGTTTACCAAAGTGCTGTATAAGCATGAATAAGGCACTATGACAAATAGAATAACAAAGTTAAAAATATGATGAAATATTATAGAATAATGTAAAATAAAATAGCAGCTCTCACACAGTGTTAAACGCCATACTATAAAAGTAGGTTTTTAAGCTAGACTTAAAAACAGTAAGTGTTTGGGCCTTTCTAACATGTAAAGGCAAATTATTCCAAAGTCTAGGGTCCGCCACTGCAAACGCACGGTCACCCCTGCTCTTCAGCCTTACACGAGGGACAACTAGAGGGAAATGGTCAGCGGACCTAAGTCCCCTCGACGGAGCATATGGCTGTATTAAGTCTGAGAGGTATGTCGGTGCCAGACCATTCAATGATTTAAAAACTAAGATTAAAATCTTAAAATCAATTCTAAAACGGACAGGAAGCCAGTGAAGAGAGGCCAAAATGGGAGTAATATGTTCCCGCTAGCAAACGAGCTGCAGCATTCTGAACCATCTGCAGTCTGGTGAGGGAGGCCTGATTAATGCCTACATAAAGTCCATTACAGTAGTCAATACGGGATGAAATAAAAATGTGTATAATTCTTTCAAAATCTTTGAAACTCAGAAAAGATTTAATCTTAGAAAGTTGCCTCAGTTGGAAAAAAATAGATTTACTTACCAAATTAAT